GCGAGTTGATCTTATACACTCAGCAGCCACTGTGCTAAAGAAGTCTAATCTAATCACCTATGATGAGAAGACTGGGAAGGTTAAGGCAACTGGGCTTGGAAGAATAGCATCCCACTACTACATTACCCACGGGTCGATGGATACATACAACAAGTTGATTCAGCCTTCGATCACAACAATTGAGCTTTTCCGAGTATTTGCTCTCAGTGCTGAGTTCAAGTATATACCTGTCCGACAAGACGAAAAGTTAGAACTGGCGAAAATTTTAGCTCGGATACCAATTCCCGTGAAGGAAAGCATCGAGGAGCCACACTGCAAGATTAATGTCTTGTTACAAGCGTACATCAGCCGTCTCAAGCTTGAGGGTCTAGCTCTCATGGCCGATATGGTCTACGTTACGCAATCTGCTGGCCGTATCCTTCGCGCTATTTTTGAAATTACTCTTCAAAAAGGCTGGTCCAACGTCGCAAAAACGGCCCTGGATTTGTGTAAAATGGCAGAGAAGAGGATGTGGCTAACCATGACGCCTCTACGGCAATTTCCTCGATGCTCTCGTGATATTATAGCCAAAGCTGACAGGTTGGATATCCCGTGGAGCAGCTATTTCGACCTCGACCCTCCTCGGATGGGGGAGCTGCTTGGTATGCCGAAAGCAGGGCGTATTGTCTGCGATCTGGTATCTAAATTCCCGCGGGTTGAGATTCAAGCGCAGGCTCAGCCGATGACTCGTTCCATGCTCCGAGTTGAACTGTCTATTACACCAAACTTCCAATGGGATGACGAAGTACATGGCTCGGCAGAGAGTTTCTGGATCATCGTCGAAGATTGTGACGGCGAGGATATTTTATTCTATGACCAATTCCTCTTGCGCAAGGACTATGCCATGTCGGAATCGAACGAGCACTTAGTCGACTTTACAGTCCCTATCACCGATCCTATGCCACCTAATTACTTCATTTCTGTCATTTCTGATAGATGGTTGCAATCAGAGACGAAGTTAGCTGTCTCCTTTCAAAAGCTTATTTTGCCTGAGAAATTCCCGCCCCATACCCAACTTCTAGACCTACAGCCTCTCCCAGTCGCTGCATTGAAGGCGAAGGACTTTTCCAATTTGTACGAGTCTTGGAACTACTTTAACAAAATCCAGACGCAGACTTTTAATTCCCTCTATACAACGGATGACAACGTCTTGATCGGTGCCCCAACCGGTAGTGGGAAGACCGTCTGCGCTGAGTTCGCCCTTTTGCGCCTATGGTCGAAACCAGAGATTGGCCGCGCTGTATACATCGCGCCGTTCCAAGAAATCGTCGACATTAGATATCAGGACTGGAGCAAGCGACTCAGTCATCTACGTGGCGGTAAGGAAATCGTTAAACTTACTGGAGAAACGGCGACAGATCTAAAGTTGCTCGAGAAGGGAGATCTCATCTTGGCTACGCCAACGCAGTGGGATGTTCTCTCCCGGCAGTGGCAGAGGCGCAAGAATATTCTTACGGTTGAACTATTCATTGCCGATGAGCTTCATCTGCTTGGCGGTCCGCTAGGGTATATTTACGAGATCATAGTATCTCGCATGCATTATATTCGTACTACTGCTCAACTAGCAATGAGGATTGTTGGGTTGAGCGTTTCACTTGCGAATTCTCGGGACATTGGCGAATGGATCGACGCCAAGAAGAAGGATGTATACAATTTCAGCCCTCATGTCCGCCCTGTACCTCTCGAGCTACGTATCCAATCTTTCTCCATTCCTCATTTCCCATCACTTATGCTTGCTATGGCTAAGCCAGCGTACCTTGCGATTACTGAGTTGTCATCTGATCAGCCGGCTCTGGTTTTCGTGCCAAGCAGGAAGCAAACGAGGTCAAGTGCTCGTGACATTCTTGCAGCCTGCCTGGCAGAAGATGACGAAGACAGATTTTTGCATGTAGACATTGATCAGCTTCGCCCGCTCTTGGAGCGTGTTCACGAGGAAGCTTTAGCCGAAGCTCTATCGCACGGTGTTGGATACTATCATGAAGCTCTCAGCCAGAGTGACAAACGTATTGTTCTCCATCTATACAAACAAGGTGCAATCCAGGTCTTAGTCGCATCTCGTGACGTATGTTGGGAGCTGGATTGCACTGCCCACCTGGTAGTGGTAATGGGTACTCAGTATTTCGAGGGCCGGGAGCACCGTTATGTCGATTATCAGTTGAGCGAAGTGTTGCAGATGTTCGGAAAAGCTTTACGACCATCTCGAGATGGCCGTAGTAGGGGTGTCCTCATGGTTCCGGCTGTCAAGAGAGAATACTTCAAGAAATTCCTAAACGAAGCCCTTCCAGTTGAGTCGCACCTTCACAATTTTATGCACGACGCTTTTGTCACCGAGGTCAGCACAAAGATGATCGAGTCAGCAGATGATGCTATCAACTGGACGACCTTTACATATTTCTACCGTCGACTTCTAGCGAACCCGAGTTACTACAGTTTAACGAGTCCGACGCATGATGGCCTGAGCAGCTACCTTTCTGACTTGGTTGAGACTACGCTAAAGGAGCTCACCGAGTCTAAGATTATCGACTTCGATGAAGATGACGGCTCGGTTGCCCCTCAGAATGCGGCTATGATTGCGGCGTACTATAACATCTCATACGTCACAATGCAGACGTTCCTGCTTTCATTGACTGCGAGAACGAAGCTCAAGGGTATATTAGAAATTGTAACGTCGGCTACAGAATTTGAGTCGATCCAGATTCGTCGGCACGAAGACAACCTGCTTCGACGAATCTACGATAGGGTCCCAGTCAAAATGTCCGAACCAGCATATGACTCGCCGCATTTTAAGGCGTTCGTATTACTACAAGCACACTTTTCCCGAATGCAACTTCCTATCGATCTAGCTAAAGACCAAGAAGTAATTATATCGAAGGTATTGAGTCTCCTCAGCGCGACAGTTGACGTTCTGTCGTCGGACGGGCATCTAAATGCTATGAATGCCATGGAAATGTCACAGATGGTGGTCCAGGCCATGTGGGACCGTGACAGTCCTTTGAAACAAATTCCTCATTTTACGCCCGAGGTAGTGAAGGTGGCGAACGAGTTCGGGTATGTACCGAATAAGAATTTTAGCGGTGAAGATGCTGACGTGTTATGCTCTAGAATTAATGACATTTTCGATTTCATGGAAGCAATGAACCCCGAAGAGAATGCTAATTATGGTACTCTTATCAAACGCCTCGGTTTGTCGCAGGCCCAGTTAGGCCAGGCGGCAGCTTTCACAAATAATAAATACCCTGATATCTCACTTGAGTTCGAGCTCATAGATGAGGATAGCATTCGTGCTGGAGAGCCGGCGTACATGAACGTCCAGATCGACCGCGAAGTTGAAGAGGACGGAGAGGTTGACACGACAGTCCACGCTCCATTCTACCCCACCAAGAAGGTGGAGAACTGGTGGCTGGTCGTTGGAGAGGAGAGCACGAAGATGCTGCTGGCTATCAGGCGAGTCACGATTGGCCGACAACTCAAGACCAAGTTGGAGTACACAGTCCCGACACCGGGCCAACATGATCTGAAGCTATTCTTAATGAGTGACAGCTACGTCGGTGTGGATCAGGAGCCAACGTTTTCCGTCACGGTTGCGGAGGGCATGGATGTGGATTCGGATGAGGAGGAGGAGGATGATGATGAATAGAAGCCTCGTGATGTCCCTGTGGAACTTCCCATGTGTGAGATCAGATCCATCCGCTGTACGAAAAGCTTACTGTACATATAGAAAACCATTCAAAGGCGATTAAAGGGTTCCGTGGTGAATTATCTTGGAAATAGGGATATATCAAAACTTTTACTACTTGTTCTAAGGTGCCTAACATGAGTCGCTTTCACTTTCTTACTTGAAGCATGTGTTATGTGGACGTCGGTGTGGTGTTAGGTTGGCAGGCAAGCAAGCAGGCAGGCTATCGGGCGATCTGGGGGGCTGATGTCGTAGAGGGCGTCGTAGAGGGCGTCGTCGCGGCTCAGCTCACCGAGTATGGAGAATGGAAGCAGATGGAAAAGAAGGCGGAGGGGAAGGGAGTGTTTGTTATAGATGTAGGAAATCGAGACGAGAGGGGGCTATGCTGATGAAGGTCGATGCCGGTTCGATGGCTACCTTAGCTACACCTCTATATGTACCTAGGTAGGTATATAACACTGATGTATGTATGGGGGCGTGTTTCTCGGGGGGGTGGGTTGGCGTTACCTACGTGCCCCTTACCTAGGTACTTCTCACCCGTATCTACCTAATCTACCTAATCTGATACCTATCTGACCACTAGGGCAAGCAGGCGGCAGGGCGGCAGAGCGGGCATGTAAACAAGTAGGCAGGTAAGAAAGAAAAAAAAAAAGGAGGACCCACGTCCCGCGTACAGGCCAGGCTAGGAAAGGAAATAACCTACCTTTGCCTGTCCTCTCTCCTTCCTTGTCTATTGTCTACCTACCTTGTCTACTTTGTCTACTTTGTCTACCTTGTCTACCTAACATTAACATTAGACTTACTAGGTACTACCTACATCATACAGTACATACCTACACACTGATACTACGGAATACCACTATCTTCACTACTACCCTCGCCAACATTTAACATACCTAGTATTGTACCTTAACGCAACACGAGACGCCATCTTCATCCAAGTCACGTGCTTTCTGTTAAGAAAAGCTACTCGGCGTACATTCTACTCGGATGAGCACAGGCTTCCCATCCCATCTCGATCCTGGGAAATTTCTCTCGACCATCTTATTCATTCATCAACTTTTCTGCCTCCATCTTTTTTTTCTTCTCCTCCTGTCGATTTCCCACCAACAAAACTCCATCCCGATCGCGCCTTTCAATTGCAACGGTTCATCGATAGCCGCTGCTAGTTGTTAGCCCCGTCACTTTCTTAAGACTTCCCCAATTTAAAGAAAGTTGACTGGACGCGTTTTTCTACCTTCTGCTCTGCTGTGTCCAATTCTTGACCAACAACTTTCGCAGCAACCAATCTTTTTTAAAACTTTTTAATCGGCAGCTGGTCATTCTACATTTATCATATTCGCATCGCGCCCATTGTCTATCCTATCGCTGTACTTTCCGCGTGGATTATCAATATGTCTGACGAGACAACCGCGCAAACTGCTACCGCGCAGGGCCCCGATGCTGCTTCTACTGCACCTAGGGACACTACGTCCGACTCTGTCGCGCCTGTTACCGACGCGAAGCCAATTGATAAAGAAACTGCGCCTACTGCCGATGACGCCCAGGCCAAGGAGGACCTCTCAACCGAAAAGCCAAGCGAAGCCAAGGGTAAGTCGCGTCCCGCAAACATTGCCACCGAAACTTCCCCATCACCGCAACACCAGTTATCCTCTTGTAAACACGTCATGCTTTACCACATGTCCAGCGCTGTCACCACGCACTTGTTTACATCTTTCAATTACAATCACAACTATTTATTACTCGTATCTTGACTTGCTCAACTACTGACATCTTATTCCTAGAAGCCGTATCCGTAGACACTGAAACAGCTCCAGCTTCTGCCCCGGCCGACGAGAAATCCGCTGACACTGACGTCGAGATGCCTGACCAGACGGCCGACAAGACCGAGCAGCCTACTGTTGACGCGAAGGCTGATTCGGACAAGGCTGCTGAAGATTCCTCTCGCGTGGAGCAGGATGTGGCTGCTGGTACTGCTGAGGGTGCTGCGGTCGACACAGAGTCAACGCCCGGGGACAAATCTAAGGCGCGTCGCAAATCTGCTGGCGACGCCAAGGGCAAGAAGTTAAATAAAAAGGCATCTCGAGCCAAAATTTTACACGTCGATGCGAAGCCAGGTGAACAGTATTTCGCCAAATTGAAGGGCTTCCCTCCGTGGCCTATTATCATAGCCGAGGAGGATATGCTACCACAGAGCATGCTGAGCACGAGACCCGTCACGGCCGCCCGTCCCGATGGAACCTACCGCGAAGATTTTGCCGATGGTGGTAAGAGGGTTGCAGATCGGACGTTCCCAGTCATGTATCTGCACACCAATGAATTGTATGGTAACTATTTAACCTTGGAGATAGTGATTAGAAGCTGACTATCTCTAGTTCCTGGACAAACAATTCCGACCTGAGCGAACTGGACCCGACTACAGTCTCGAGCATGATCACGACCAAGATGCGCAAAGATCTACAAAACGCCCACCTATTGGCTGCGGAGCAGAACTCCCTAGAATACTACAAGAACGTGCTCCGTGAATTTGAGGAGCAGCGATTAGCGAAGTTGGAAGCCAAGAAGGCCAAGTCTGTTAAAACACCAAAGAAGGGTGCCAAAGCCGCCGAAGCTGTAGCAGTAGATGAAGATGGGGACGTCGAAATGCCTGATGCGGAAGAAGGTGATGATGCGGAGCCTGTTGAGAAGAAACCCAAATCCAAGAAGCGCAAGGCCGAAGATGAGACCAATGTAAGGGGATACTTACCACCTGTTCGAGCCTCGTGCTAACTTATACAGACTCCTCAACGCTCCGAATCCGTCAAGAAGCCGAAGATTAAGTTGACTAACTCGTCAACTCCGAAGGCCGCTAACGGCGTCCAATCGCCATCTACGAAAGACTCTTCCAAAGCCGTGAAGGTCAAAGCGAAGTCAGCCAAAGGCAGTAAAGAGAAGTCTGATAGCAAGAAAGAGAAGGAAGCTTCTGCACCTAAGGAGCCGGAGCTTAGCCCCGAAGAAAGACATGTACGCAAGGAGGTAAGTCATTACGACCCATCGTTATCGTGTTAGTTTATGCTCACAAATTCGTAGAAGGAGATCTTGTTTTTGCGGCATCGATTGCAAAAGGGCCTACTCATTCGGGACCAGGAGCCGAAGGAAGAGGAAATGAGATCGATGTCAGAGTTTCTTGCTAAACTCGAAACCTTCCCCGATCTCGAAGTCAGCATCATCCGGGCGACCAAGATTAACAAGGTGCTCAAGGCTATCCTAAAATTGGAGACAATTCCGAAGGAGGAAGAATTTGAGTTCAAGCCGCGATCACAGACGCTCCTGAACAAGTGGAACAAGCTCTTAGCTACTGACGAGGCAGCTCCAGCTTCAGCTAACGGCGTTAATGGTGCTTCTAGCACTGCTGCGAAGGGTGGAAAAGGGGCCGCTAATGGTGTGAAGGAGTCCTCTGACCAGAAAGCAAGCTCCGAAAAAGAAGATGTCAAGGTTGACGCCTCGGAAAAGGACGCGAAAGATGAGGCAGATAGCAAGGCCGAATCGGTGGGTGAAGAGAAGGCAGATTCGGAAAAGGTATGTTTAACATGGACGCCATTTTGTTCTCTCGTATTATGGAAGACAATACTAATTACCTATAGAATGTCGATGCATCTATCAACGAAGCAGCAGCAGAAGTCGAGGCGGCGGCATGAAGAGACAACAGATACTAAACTCGATGCGAAAACGATAACTTCCTTTTCAGTGCCTCAATTGAGTGAGGCAAACCAGGGGCGTTTAAGGGTATAAGAAAGGCAACATTGCTAGGTATGGCTACCGTTGTTCGGGCGGTAGGCCGTGCAGCCAAATGATGCATGCGACATTACAGTAGTTGAGCTCGGGGTTGTGTTCATCGTATGTAAATTAGGCAACACTTTTCATATCAGGTAATGCGCTGTACTACTCGAGCAGTCGATATTCAAACAGGAAGGGCCTCTCTTGGGGGGGAGAGGGAACGAAAAGGTCAGGCTCCTACTACGTTATTTGGTACCCCCTAATTAGTTCGTCGGCTGGTAGAGTTGATGGGCTCGGGATGTTATAGTGGTTGCGTTTTTAGTTTAGGAGGTCTGTGCGGATTTCTCGGAAATTTTGCAGTAAAAAAAGTCATTACATTAGCTACTATAGAACCATGTAGCCGTTGTTTTTATTTGAGTGACTATGGAGATACTAGCAAACGGAATATATCAAATACGACTATGGAAAATGAAGATTACAATTTACACCTACTATTGTATACATGTACCTCTATTGGAGGTACATACCTAATGTACCTACTCAGTCCTAACCAAGCTTTATTAATAATAAACCAGCTCGAACAAAACAGTACATAACAGTAAAGGTTGGAGCTTGGGCCACGCCAAGCTTATACACTACCTAACCTAGTAGGTTAGTTTTCAAGCTGCAAGAGCAACCCCACCTTTAACTTGTCTGATAAAGTTCTAAGGCGCGCGTCATCAGCCATCAGTTGCCTGATAATGTGGTTACTTACTTACCTAGGTTATACATATGTACAATTTAATCATCTTTCAAAATCTGATCTATTCTGCACACTTCTACTCTCCGCCACCTATCCTTTACATTGTCATCGCACAGCTCACCTCTTAGACATCCTTCGCTCAGACTAGAAATCGAGAAATAACATATAACCCCGGCCATAGGAGCGTATGGGAGAGGACACTTTCCCCTCTCATTTCTCATACGTCGCGAAATACAGTACCCCGGTATAATCGCACCATTCCGAGAACACCATCATGTTGTTGCGACTACGAGGGCCGGATGGCATGATCCGGATCAATATCGAGAAGACCGACTCCTTCGCAGAGCTTGGCCGCCAGGTATATATATCCCCCTACCTTTATCCCTACCTTTATTACATTCGAGCTGCCATGTGCCGTGTGCCATGTGCCATGTCTAACTCGAAGCTTAGCTCGTGGCGCAATTGCCCCCAACCGTCGACCCGAATAGCATTAGCATGTCCCCAGACCCCCAGGCCAAGGACTCGAAGAAACTGAAGGACATCGCAAAATTCAAGCTGGCGCAAATTGGGTTAAGGTACTGTTTTCCCTACGATCTTGTCCGAATTCCAACATTAACATAAATGCAGCCACGGGGATTTGATATTCATCAACTACCAACATCAGAACGCCGCCAACGGCCACACGAATGGGGCGCCCACGCCGTCCAGCACTTTATCTTCTACCAACAGATTAAATGGGAAACCCATCCTGCCTACAGAGAATCTACCGGTCGACCCGTCGCCGCTAACGTTGCCTACGAAAATCATCAAGAATCCCTGGGAAGTGGTGAGACAGTCGCCGCTCGACGACCGGTTAGACAGGCAGGACGGAAAGATTCCTCGAGGTCGAGACCGGATGTGCAAGCATGGACCCAAAGGCATGTGCGACTACTGCATGCCCCTCGATCCTTTCAACGCACAGTACCTCGCCGATAAAAAGATCAAGTACCTATCATTCCATTCATATCTCAGGAAGATCAACTCAGCAACCAACAAACCCGAGTTAGGAAGCTCCTTCATTCCACCCCTGAAGGAACCGTATTTCAGAGTTAAGAGGGACTGTCCCTCGGGTCACCCGCAATGGCCCGAAGGCATCTGCACAAAGTGTCAGCCCAGCGCCATTACGCTCCAGCCGCAAACTTTCCGCATGGTCGATCATGTCGAATTTGCCTCGTTTGGGCTTGTCAATTCTTTTATTGACGCGTGGCGGAAAACTGGTGCACAACGGATTGGTTACCTGTATGGCCGCTATGCCGAATACTCGGAAGTACCCCTCGGCGTTAAAGCGGTTGTCGAGGCTATATACGAGGTACCGCAAATAGATGAGGTTGATGGAGTATCGTTAAACGCCTGGGAAAATGAAACTGCTGTGAACGAGGTCGCTAAGTTATGCGGTCTTGAGCAGGTCGGGATTATATTTACAGACTTACTCGATGCAGGTACAGGGGACGGAAAGGTTATATGCAAGCGGCATGCCGATTCATACTATCTCAGTTCTCTAGAGGTTTGTTTTGCAGGGCGCTTACAGGCTCAGCATCCCAAGCCTACCAAATGGAGCGATACGGGAAGATTCGGTTCTAACTTCGTTACATGCATCATCTCGGGCGATGAAACGGGTCAAATCGCCATCTCATCATACCAGGTATCCAATGATGCCGTGGAGATGGTGCGGGCAGACCTCATTGAGCCGTCGGCTGACCCCAGTGTCATGCTTGTGCAAGAGGAGGAAGAAGACGACGGCTCGACGAGCCGGACGCGATATATCCCAGAGGTATTCTACCGGAAGATTAACGAGTATGGTGCGAATGTGCAAGAGAATGCCAAGCCGGCATTCCCTGTTGAATATCTCTTTGTAACACTAACGCACGGCTTCCCCGCGGAACCCAAGCCTCTATTCAACACTTCCATATTCCCTATCGAGAATCGTGAGACTTTAGGAGAGAGCCAGCAGATAACATCAGTTACTAAGGCTCTTCGTACCTCCGATGAGAATAAGCTTGCGTCTCTTTCGGATTTCCACCTCCTCAATTTCATACACGGAATAGGCGTGCTGTCGAAGGTAAGTATTGACTAGCTACACCGCTTTTTCCCCTTTCTAGAATCATCGAAGTAACAAGGAAACAGGAAGAGGAAGCGCTCCTCTGTCGTGCGGCTACAACGCACGACCTCGCCGATACGTACCAACTCTTCTCCCAGCCGGGCTGGCAGACTCTGGAAACCATTCTACAAGAGACTGGTGAGAAACTCCCCAAAAGAATAGACAAGCGCCCTCGTCGTTCAAGTGACGAGGGGGGCCAAGCGCACGGCGACGAAGCATCCTCCGCCTCATCATCGCCTTCGTCCCGCCCCAGTAGATCATCCAGTGGACCGCTTGCTAAGCGTTTTGCTGCCGTTAGGCTGAACGAACGAAATTCGAACTCACCCTTCTACGATCGCCCCCGGTTCGAAGATATATGAAAAAAAAATACATATTGAAGGAGGAGAGATATCCCACCGGCGCGTGTTTCGCATAGGTTCGTGCTCGTTCGGAACGAAAGGGGGGAAAGAAAATAACCGAAGATCTAACGAGTGGCGAGTTAGGTGGAGGTGTTTCTCGTCACCAGCGGCCAGATAGAGGCTAAAAAGGAGCCTCGTCTATCTTTCGTCAGCGCGGAGGAGAAGAGCGGCTTTTTTTGTGTCTAGGGGAGGAAAAGCAACCCAGCTTTGAGATGGTTGCGGGTAGTACCCCCTATTCGTAATACACATCTTCCGTCGCCGATGATCAGGAAGGTGAATTAGAAGCGTATTTTTCGTGCATAAATCATTCTTATGTAGTATGTATCGTTGCCTTACGTCGTTTAGCTTAGGTACCTAGCTTAGAGAGCCTGTTCCGGCAGGTAAGACAACTCAAGTCTATCAGCTTCCCTTCTATACCAAGAAAAATACGGAGATGATGATTATCTTGGGTACTTAGAATAATATCATTAACCTAGAAAGCACGACAGTTAGTTAATAAATAGTACTGGACTCTTGGGAAACTACATTTTTCTACTATTGGAACACATCATAACACGGGTACACAGATATTTTATTTTTATTGTTAACTTTTTTATTTCATTCAAATACTATAGCAGACGTAAATCTACCGTCCTACCTACCTACATAGATACCCGCGTACCCGCGCTTCTCCCTGGGGTGCGGTACGAAAGATGGAAATTCATCTTCCCCTTTTTCTTCTTTTGCCCTCCTCTTGCCGGGAAACTCGAAAAAAAATTTAGGAAACAGAAATAACATAACAGACTGCCTTTGCAGTCCATCATTCATCAGGCCCGGCCCCCCTTCACTCCGACCGCCTCCTCGAGCAAGAATCCCAGCTCAACGCCTATGGAAATTTTCGGTTTTGGGGAACAAGGGAGAAAACATCGCGTTGGTATTGCGTGCGATGTTGGAATTGTTTTAGTATAGATAGGAAATTTTTGTGAATCCGGGTATCTGGTACATTTACAAGGGCTTGCCGCCCAGGAACTCAGACCACCGGCGGACTTCGGACGGGATACCCTCCTTACGAGGTAGCTTCTCGTTCATGCATTGGGCGAAGAGGATCGCGGTCTAGAATTACATTTAAATTAGCATATTCGTATATATGAAATAAAGCACTATAAAAAGGGAAGGGGGCTTACCTGAGGCTCCATGAACAGCGGGACACCAAAGTCGACAGCGTTTCGGCGCATCACGTAGTCGACATCCATAGTAGTCTTAGCCCGGGCCAGGGCCAAGTTGAAAACTCCTCGGATGTCGTACTTCTGGAAGACTTCACGGAGGGCTCGCTTGTCCTCCTTTGGGAATTCGATGACCTCCACGGTGACCTTGTCCTTAGTAGTAGACTCGATGAACTGCTTGATGTCCTCGTCGGCAGCAAAAAACTTGTAGCCGAGAGGGGAGAGGTAGTCGACGACCTGGGTGAGCCAAGGCTTCGAGGTCTCGCCACCAAGGAGGATACCCTCACCAGGCTCAGGTACGCGGAAGTTCATGGCGGACTGGAGAGATGCCCAGTAGGCCTCGACAAGGTCCTTACCGAAGCAGGCCATCTCTCCTGTGCTAGACATTTCGACGCCCAGGAACGGATCAGCACCAGCGAGACGAGTCCAGGAGAATTGGGGGACCTTGGTGGCGAGGTAATCCCTCTTGACAGACATGAGATCGGTAGGGTCGGGAACGTCCTTGCCAACGAGAGCCTTAGTTGCAACGTCAATGAAGTTAGTACCGAGGACCTTGCTAACGAAGGGGAAGGACCGAGAAGCTCGAAGGTTGCACTCGATGACCTTCAGTGCTGGCTCTCCACCT